AGGGGTTAAACTGTTCTCGAACGCTAATCTCCGGGTCCCCCAGGCATCATCAGACTTCTGAAACAAAGTTACAGGAAGCACAGAGTAGTGCTGGCCAGGGCACCACTGATTGCCTAGAGAGGTCTGCTGACGGTCTAAGCCAATCAAAGACTCCCTATTCAAAAGAAAGGTATGTAGCTCTTTTATGAATGGGGCGCTACTAACTGGCTTAGAGTGTGACTGGTCTAGTAAATCAGTGGCGCCCCTGACCGGCAGCACTCCGTGCTTCTTGTAACTCACTTTTAGAAACTGGATGATTAACACTGGAGGCAGTTCGAGAACAGTGTAACAAACTCCACTTAAGGTAAAAGGAGGGGCCTCCTAGAAACATAAGAACTTCCTTTAGTTGAAGTTGTTATAGTGATCATAGTATTATTTTAAGGCCAAAGTATCCAAACTGAAGGCATAGTTTTTTTCCAGTATGGCTACTTTAGCTTTACTGTACATTTGATATTCTTTTTGAATTCATTTTGAATGCGTGACCTTTCTCACTTTAGTAAATAACCTTGTACAACTTGATTACAAGTTTGTGCAGGTAACAAGACATAAGTGAAACATAATAATAGTTTTTTCGCTAAAGGAATTTTCAATACCACCGGTTTAGACAAAAAAATTTTTATTCTTTATTTTTGCAGTGCAGGTAATTACAAACAAGCATGTAATGCCACGACATCATCAAAATGGTGTTCTATATGAGACATGTTGGTACATGGGTATGGCACGTAAATACATTGTAGTTTTTAAGCCCTTCCTGACCACGGACGTACTAGTTATGTCCGACAAAAATGGTCCTTAAGTACGTCCGCAATATTCCTTCTTACTTGCCCTGTTCCTCTCAGTGTGGGGGGACTGTCTGACAGCCCAGACAGTCCCCCCTCAGCAAATTAGGGCCCCACGGACCATGTGATCACTCTGAAAGAGTGGTCACATGTTTGGCATAGGCGTCTATAGTGCTGCCTGCACTATTGCATACAGGCAGTCTTCCTGCATGTGTCAAATAAAAAAATATAAATCAAATATATTGTTATAAAATATATAACAATACACTTAGAGTAAAATTATACACATATATATTGTAATAACTAAATATATTGCATATACATATTATAAAAAATAAATAATAATTAATGAAAAATAAATAAAAAAACGTTTTTTTGTTTTTTTAAATTATATATATATATAAATATATATATATATATATATATATATATATATACATATATATAAATATATAACATTTATTCTAACTGTATTTTGATATTAATATATATTTATATCAAAATATATTTAGTGTAGCGGCCCCTTTGGCATTGAGTAAATAACGAGAGGAGACGTCTGACGGGTGCAGTACTATTGTTCTTTTGCATCAAAGGTGTGCAGGACGGTTGAGCACCACCAATGTTAATCTCTTTATCACCTTGAACACCGTGAACCATAAGCACCATAAACATAGTAAGAACCATGAAAACTGTAAAATGACATACAATACATTTGTTTACAGAGATCACCAAAAGGGGGTTACAATAGAATTACAAATGTGGAGTTACAAAAAAATGGAGTTCAGTCGTCTGCACACATATCTAAATTACATTAAACATCTAAGGAAACATGACTCTATGTACAAGGATTTAAATTACAATACTAAATATACAAACATTTGGATTATCTACAGCATATCTTTTAACTAATAGCATGGACACAATTTATGCCTAAGAATATATATACTTTTATAGACAATGCACTTCTACTGCGTACCTCGCTCTGCTTGCCAAGGGGTGCAACTTTAAACTTTAGAAAACCTCAATAACAATCACCTTCCCACGAGGTGCTGCTGGCTTGCTTTGCATCTGAATGCTGAGTCACAGAGAGCCTTTTGCCTCCAAAACTAGAGGAAGGAGGGGGGTCTGATGATTAAACATTCTCCAGGGAAACAAGAGGAAGGCAAAAAGGTTCCACCTGTGGCAGTCAGTACTGAACAAGGATTAAAAGTAATAAGCAGACAGATACATGTAGAATGAAATTATATATATATATATATATATATCTGTGACGAGACCAATCTCGACACTGTGCATTGGAGAAGCCTGGTTGCGTGCTTGTTGCCTTTTGACTATGGACCGGCATTTAAATACTTTATTTTCCTATGCAGAAAGGTCTATTGATGTATTTCTGTTCTGGCATTCAGTAGATTCTTGGATTTACTGAATGAACTAATTTAACCCAGATAGCTATGCCATGGAGCCTATTCGTGTAATAAAAGACTTTGGCTCCATGGCAATTGAACTGTATGTGTGTGGTCTGATCGCCATTCAGTAATAATGTGCGCTCAGACCTAAGCTATCTGGGAATATGTTGCATGTCTGTATTTTATGTCATAAATGTAACCTTGTGTATTTTATTGTATTTTACTGTCTTTTTAATGCCATGTGCTTAATGGAGTTTTGCCTCTGTCCTTGGAGATAATTGGATTACTTCCCAATTATCTCCAGGATAGAAGACTCTGTGGAACTGGTTTTGGGCAGAAAAGCCATGTTTTCTTTGGTCACTGGACCAATTTGGATGTTTTTGACATATGTTTGTATTTGGAGTATGCTGATACTGAAAATGTAAGTTGTATGTGAATGTGATGCATACTTTTAAAGTTATGAATAATGTGGAAAAAACGGTATTTCTCTGCCGGTGAGAATTACATTACCCATTGTGTAAGGTAATTGTATCACAGGTAGAGGGGAGGATTTTGTGTGGGAGTGGCTGAGTGTATTTTATGTGTTTATTGGTTTTCCAAAACCCTGTGGGTGGTACTAATGTGTATATAAGAACAATAAACCCACAGCTCTGTCTGTTCCTGCTTGACCCTCAAAACGGAGCCTTGTCTAATTCTTGGGGGGATTTATTGTATGCTGTTCCAGTTCAACTGCTAGGAGTGTAAACCTATTCGTATGGTTTTTCCTATTCGGCTGTTTACAGTATTCGTATGTGTGAGAGCATTCATATGCTTCTCCGGTTCGGTGGATTGGTGTCCAGAGAATTTAATTTGCTAGCACTATATTTAAACCTATAACTTTCCATGATACCCTAAAACCTGTACATGGGGGTTACTGTTTTACTAAGGAGACTTTTCTGAACACAAATATTACTGTTTCAAAACAGTGAAACACATCACAGTGATGATACTGTCAGCTGGGCCGGATTAACATATGGTCTGATGGAGCTGCAGCTCCCTGCCCATGTCCATGGAATAGGCCCATTGATTTTATTTTTTACACACTATTCAAGGGTTGCCATGTGTGACATGTCATGATTACCTTTTATTCCAGAAGTTTGGTCCTTAAGGGGTTAATGTCTCTCAGTGTCCCTAGTTTCCAGATTACTTAATGTCTCTCAGTGTCCCCTAGTGTCTCAGTGTTCCCATGTCTCCCAGTGTCGCCAAGTGTCTGTGTCCCCATGTCTCACAGTGTCGCCAAGTGTCTGTGTCCCCAGGTCTCCCAGTGTCCCCTAGTGTGTCAGTGTCCCCATGTCTCACAGTGTCCCATGTCTCTCAGTGTTCTAGTGACATGGATACACAGACACTAAGGGAAACTGGGAGACATGGGGTCACAAACACTAGGGGATACTGACACACTAGGGGACACAGAGACACTGCAACATTTTGACCTGTACCCAGGTATTGATCAAGTCTCCATTGTCCCCTATGTATCACAGTGTCTCAGTGTCCCCATGTCTCCCAGTGCCCCCAATTGTCTCATTGTCCCCTAGTATAAAAGAAAAAAATCTTGATAGATTTGTGATAGATTTAAGCTGTTTATAGGCCACCGCAACGTTTCAACCTCTACCCAGGTCTTCATTAAGTCTCCAGTGTCCCCTATGTATCACAGTGTCTCAGTGCCCCATGTCTCCCAGTGTCCCTTGTGTCTCAAAGTCACCCAGTGTTCCCATGTTTCCCCCAGTGTCTGTGTCCCCAGGTTTCCCAGTGTCCCCGATCCCTAGTGTCTCAGTGTAACCATGTCTCACAGTGTCCCCTAGTGTCCTAATGCTGGACAAGCTCAGGGTGCTGTCTGCATAGTATGCCCTTAGTTGGCCAGCCTGCATGACTGGCAGGCAGCCTGACATGCATTAATGCCAGGCTGTCCTTCAAATTCTTTGGGCAGACATGCCCCCTTTTTGGGTTTGTTCACCCCTTTCGGCAGTTCTGGTTACATGATTCGCACCAATAGCACACCCTTTTACCCTGTCCATAGACTTCCTGCTTCACTGGGCACTGCTGTTAGGGGGTATGGATTTACTTGAAAGATGAAAGCGTTAGATTAGCATAGGGTATGTGTTTTCTCATAGCAGCATCCTATGAGTTTCCCTCCAGCACCATCTCCATCAGATACATGACACTTAGGAAGTAGGGCTGTTTTAGTGTTTTTGGTCGATAAGATTTTGTAATTAGGCCCATCATAATTGTCAGTACCAGGCCCACTGGGCTCTTAATCTGTCCCTGATTGTCAGTGAAAGTGACATTGTTTGCATTTTTCACACACAGATGGCACTTTCACTGATTAAGAACATTGAAAAATGGTCTAGTCACTAAGGTGTTAAAGTAAAAGAAAATTAAGCACGATAAATGTTGTAGAAAGAAAAATATTACAATGCTGTTGTTGCATGAGAGGAAATGCCAGGAGGAGTAGAAAAAACATAAGAAAAAACAAGTTAAAGCAGCTGACATTTTGCAATATATCTAATACCAGTGGGCATGAAATATTGAAAAGAAAGAGCAGTTCTCTCACATCCCAGCTCATGGTTGGTTATCAGCATGCTCAGCCTATGTCTTTCAGAAGGTGTATACTGAACCGGTGAGATTGTGTGAAAGAGTCTCCTTCAGCTATACCACACCAGCCCCGAGTCAAAATACTGAGCAGGGTATCGAGTTCACATGACCCGAGATGAACCACAAACAGGACCAGACACTGGTGTACATTGCTTGGCTTCCTCAGGGTACGTTGCTTGAGGGCCATCCGAGGGAAGGAGCGGTGCATGTGTGGATAGTCTCTGGTTAACTGTGGCGCAAGGGGATAGCGGTGCTTAGCAGGGCTTGGTCGTTGATGGTGAGGCACCTGTCTCCACTTCTGTCTCTGTTTCTCCATCATTGGTTTTGCAACAAAGCTTTTCTTAGTGAGTTTAGGCTTGGTTGTAATGTGCGGTAGGTCGGGCTGGAGTGAAGCTGCTGCGGGAGACTTCGGTGTTTGTCGCAGTGTCTTGTTCCAGAGTTGTGCCCAGAAGCGTTCAATGGCCTAGTTGAGGGGTTCCTTCAATGAGGCCAGAGTCATAGAGGGCTTGAGCGGTACAGGCAACTTGTCGGTGGCCATCTTTGCTTGCAGAGAGTTGCTTACTTTGCTTTGTTCAGTGGTGGATGCCAGGTCAAGGAAAGGTGAATGTATTACCCCTGTGGGAACCTGGATACCCACCTCCAGTCCATGGGGGGCAGTAGGAGCATACTTGGACCTTGTAGTCTACCCAAGAGTGAGGAGAGTGGCTGCCTCTAGCCAGCTCAGCCTGTCACAGGCCACAGCCTTGTTTCTTCATAGGGCCATCAGCCATCGACAGCTTAAGTCAGAGTTTAGTGCTCACAGGACCCTCGGGGGTAAACTGCTTGAAAATGTAAATGAAAAATCGCTTATTTTCCTGCAAAATTGAGCAAAATCAAGGTAATGGGCCCGGAGCTCAGGTAGTGTGCTTCAGGCTCCACCCCATATTTTATTTTTATGCATACCAGATGCAACGCTTCAGCTATTGTGTAAACAAGCATTGTGCCTATGTAAAATAATTAAAATTAAGAGTTTAGGTTTAGCTTTACACAAATATAATTTATGAAGCAAAGTTTTAGAGGTTAGGGTAAGGACTGCAATCTGCTGCTTACTAGTGGATCAAGCAGTGGTCAACAAGGGGGAAGTAAGAGGCAACAATAGAGTGTTTTCCATTGCCTAGTCAGCTACTGTTTACACTGATCAAGTTCTGCTGCCGCATGCCAACTTTCTTAGGAAAGGCTGTTGTCATATTTTTTCTGAAAAATTATCTATTCAACTTATAAAATAAGACTTAAAGGAGCACTACTCGTTTCCTGGCACAATAGGGTTATTAGGTCCCCACCCTCCCTCGTGGCCTCTCTCCTGCTGGGCTGAAGGGGTTAAAACCCCTTCAGCCACTTACCTTAATCCAGTGCCGGGCTCACTCGGTGCTGGTGACATCTCCTACCCCTGCTGACGTCACTCCCGAGTGGAGCCGAAAAACCGCCCATAGAAAATCATTTCTCAATACTTGCCTATGGGGATCTGAACTCACGCTGTGTGAGTTCAATGCGATTTTCACACTGAGAATTGCGGAAGCGGCCCCTAGTGTCTGTCAGGGAGACAACCACTATAGGCTGGATTAATTAGCCCTGCAATGTAAACATAGCAGTTTTTCTGAAATGACTATGTTTTCAGCTGCAGGGTTAAAACTAAGGGGGCCTGGCACTCAGACCACTTCATTGAGCTGAAGCAGTCTGGGTGCCTATAGTGGTCTATAAACAAGTTAGACATTTTGAATGCCATATTTAGGATGAGTTTAGGACTGAGGTTAGATCAGGGCAATCTTACTCTTTAGATATTTAGAATTGGGTCTAAAAGGTCAAATGCTGTAGTAGTGTAGGGTGTTGTGTTTGGGATAGTACTACACCCTAAGACTAAAGCAAGTGGGGTTGGCACCAACTATTCTGATTACTTAAGTAGATGGAAGCAGGATTCACTATGGGAAGAAAGCAGGCTGGTGGAGGCAGTGTTATGGTCTAGGCAATGTTGTGCTGGAAAATCCTGGGTCCTGGTATTGATGCAGATGTTACTTTGACCCGTATCACCTACATAGAAATGTTTCCAGACCATATACACCTCTTCATGTCAATGGTGTTACCTGATGGCACTGGCCTCTTTCAGCAGGATAATGCACCCTGGCACACTGAATTTCTTTTTTTTTTTTTGACAAATGGTTTGAGGCACTGATCTCAATCCGATTAAGAAACTGTGGATTGTGCTGGAATAACAAATCCAATCCATGGAGGTTCCACCTCACAACTTGCAGGACATAAAGGATCTGCTGCTAATGTCTTGGTGCCAGATACCACAGGACACGTTCAGAGGTAGTATGAAGCCCATGCCTCAATGCTTTTGTGGCCGCACGAGGGGGACCTACATGATATTAGGCAGCTGGTTTTAATGTTGTGACTGATCAGTGTATATAGAAAGATTGCATTTTAAATACTCCTAGCTGATTGGAGGCTGGGACTGCCTTACATCCAGTCCACCCTATTAATAGACTAGTCCAAGCCAGACAATATTTCTGCCTCATATGAAGAGAGAAACACAGGATTATATACAGAGCATATTGGATATGCTTCATGCTTATATTATAAATAATGCTATTTTGAAAGTTAATTAACAAAATAAATTAATATATAAAATACTTTTTGATCCCCATGATAAACATGAATGAATTATATCTGGCACGTGTATCCAGCTCCTAAAAATCATTGGTTTCTGATAATATTCCACTTTCCACCATTGTTTGTTTTGTTGCAAATATTTTAGCAGAACTCTTCAAGTAAACACCAGCAGCATAATACATTTGAATTGCTGTTAAAAAAAATAGAATCATAGAAACATAGAATGTGACGGCAGATAAGAACCATTCAGCCCATCTAGTCTGCCCAATTTTCTAAATACTTTCATTAGTCCCTGGCCTTATCCTTTAGTTAGGATAACCTTATGCCTATCCCACACATGCTTAAACTCCTTTACTGTGTTAACCTCTACCACTTCAGCTGGAAGGCTATTCCATACCCTCTAAGTAAAGTAATACTTACTGATATTATTTTTAAACCTTTGTCCCTCTAATTTAAGACTATGTCCTCTTGTTGTGGTAGTTTTTCTTCTTTTAAATATAGTCTCCTCCTTTACTGTGTTGATACCCTTTACGTATTTAAATGTTTCTATCATATCCCCCTGTCTCGTCTTTCCTCCAAGCTATACATGTTAAGATCCTTTAACCTTTCCTGGTAAGTTTTATACTGCAATCCATGAACAAGTTTAGTAGCCCTTCTCTGAACCGTCTCTAAGGTATCAATATCCTTCTGAAGATACGGTCTCCAGTACTGTGTACTATACTCCAAGTGAGGTCTCACCAGTGTTCTGTACAATGGCATGAGCACTTCCCTCTTTCTACTGCTAATACCTCTCCCTATACAACCAAGCATTCTGCTAGCATTTCCTGCTGCTCTAAATAGAGATAATGATTGAAATTATTTCACGTTTTAAGGCAAATATGAACATCACATAACTGTGCTATTTTATGATGAATTTTAAAGGTTTAAACAAATTACTATTTCACACATGCAGCTGCAAATATTGCATCTGGAATAATGAGCATATGTGTTGGCAGTGTGTGGATTTTTAAACATAAGTGTTGATTTTTTTAAAACTACTTTTAGCATAGTAATTGCACATTTAAATTTTATTTTATGCTATCCTAACTTCTGTAAAGGGTGATATTTGTCCTTCTGAACATAGTATATAGACTGTTGTTAGAAAGATAGCAGGCACTAATTAATTTTATCCTTTGAATTATTTCTAAAATTAAATAACAAATACACGAACCATTTATTTTTCTGATTTATGTTTGTTGTCCAACAAAGCCAATTTATACTGTACATAAAATTGTTTTATTGTTATATTTGTCCAAGCTATTTATGTTGTGTTTATAATAAACTGTACATATACCATTCTATTACTCAAGAAACCTAGGCTCTGCTTTCAACAGGACTAGCATAAGTAAGATCAGATATGATTTAGCCATGTAGGACATTTAAATCACTGTAATAATATAGATTATAGGGTACAGAAGTAAAAAGTGAAGGTGAAAAAATAATTTGAACGAAGCACAACAAACAAATGTAAATAAAATCTTATTCAAAGCCATGCAAGCATGCTGTCAACGTTTGAGTTGTATATGTATAATTATGAAAATGAAAGCTAAATATTTGAGGTGTCACATGTACAAATTGCTTAGAAATCTTACTCACATAAAGAAACATGTCATTATGTAGTCACTTATGAAATATGGACATTTGTGAAAAATAAACACATAAAATCACAAATAAACTAGCAATATCTCACTATTAAAGTTTCATTGTCAGCCAATGTAAAACCATATTTGACATATGAAGTTGATCCTCCAGGCAACAAAAATATTTTGAGGTTTGATTTATTATTCCAGGAAAAGCTGACCTTTCTATAAATGGGGTATCCATATGAGAGTTTTTATTAATGACTCAGTACATTTTGTAAGTCATTTTTCGCACAGCACTTTGGTATTTATTTCATTAAGCATCCCCAGGAAATGGTGAAATAAAGTTGCCATACAAGAACATGATGTAACATTTCACATTTAATTAAATATACCTTTTCATGTTGCGGTACAAAGAATGCCTACATTTCAACAAGCTTGAATTTAATTTCTTATAACTGCAGCAACCTACAAAATGTGCTGCTCATACCTTCATTTAAATATATCCCCCCAGCACATGTATTGTCCTTAATGGAAAATGCACAGGTAGAGTCTGGAGAAAGTAGAATTGATATACAATAGAGAGATGAAAACCAAGGAATATTCTGCTGTGTTCATAAAATGTTGCACTGCAAGGATTTCCAAGATATGTTCTGAACTATCATGGAATGATATGAGAACATCTCAATTAGCTGAGCAATTCTGTGAGGGCTTATTACAGTAGATGGAAAATATGAGGATTTGCATCAAGTACAGGCATGTCAAATGTTATTTATTTCAATACATACATTTTGAAACAATAGGTCAAACTCTTTCTAATATTTCCATGATACACAGTACTTTGCACCCATCATACTCCTTCAGCATTTCCATTGACATTTTATTGTATTGCTACTTGGAAATAAAGTGGATTTTGTAATTCAAACAATTCAAACAAAAGACCTATGATGACTTAAAGTTGAAATAAAAATACACACAGTTGTTGGTGGTATACCTATCCATCGACCCTCGGATCAATATTAGCCAGAACTATCTTTTATAGCATTTATAGTTATAAAGCTTTTGGAGAAAAATTAAGATTTTGTGTTTTGTTTGGTATACATATAGGATAAGAAAATAGAGCCCTTACTGTTCTGTAACAAAAAAAAATATATACAATATACTGTATAGTGATGCATGTAAAGGGGCCCTTATTTTT